AAATTTTGCTCTTTGCAAGCAATTTTTGGGAAATTGCACTTGACCCTGTACTGCAGATCTGTTGTTATTACACAAATGAAACATGCGTTGAAGAGTAAACAAAATAATCTAATTATAGATTATATAACAGATATAAACGGAGAAACAGCATCTAGGAATTCAGGTATTGAAGAAAAAGAAGATTTTAGAAAACAAAACAAAACTGCAGAGATATTGAATAAATCAATAAAAGATTATTTAGAAGAATTAGAGCTTTATAATGACTGGATAGTTGACCTTAGAAAAAAAAGAGAAGAGCAACAAGCACTTCAAAGAAAAGATATAAAAGAGAACTTAATTCAACAACTTGAACAAAAAATTTACTCTTTCTAATACAAAATGATAAAAAAAAGATAAGGAAAATTTAGAATTTTTGACAAATATAGAGATGTCTAATATGCAGATAGAAGATTATATAGAGAAGTTAAAGCAAGATAAAATATGGATTCATACTCTTAGACAAGAAAGTTTAAAGCAGAGATTACAACAAAGAAAGAAAAGAATAGAAGATTCTTTTTAACAAATTGAAGAATTATATATATATATTGTAGTATCAAACCAAAAGAAGAAGAGAAATATTGAAGTAATAATCCCTAAAGAAGAAAAGAAAAGAGGTTATAACGAGAATAAAGTGAAGAATCCTATAGACAAGGAAGAAGCTTTATCTAACAATTACTTAGAAGAATATCTGAAAGAATTATACCAATACAAAAAGTGGATAATAGATCTTAGAGAAAAAAGAGCAAAACAAGAAGAACCTCAAAGAAGAAAAAGAAGAGAAAACCTTGAGTATCTTTATGAAGAATTAACAAGAAGTTATCTTCAACTTCAAGACATATTAAAGAGAAGAATTATAGATAGTAAAGAGAAAGAAGCTAACCAAATAGAAAACAATTTGAAGATATCACAGAAGAAACTTTTAAAAAAAATTTTAGTAAGTCTGAGAGAACTCCTAATCTAAGTGAGAAGAAGTAAGAAGACTAGATCAAACTAGAAGAGTAGAAAGAAAAAAGTAAAGAAGAAAACTCTATTACAGAGTAGGAAATTATTAGTAATTAATGAAGAAGATAAAGGAGAAGAAAAAAGAAGTATTGAAGAGTTAAGAGTCAAGTTACCTGCAGGAAAACATAGAGTAAAATGGAAAAAGAAAAGGAAGAATATTAGCTTAGAAATAGATAGTATAGTATTTTTACGAAAAAAAGGTATTTTAAATAGCTAAATAGAATTAGGATTAGATAGATTAGAATTAGATAATAGCATAGCAAAAGAGTATTCAGATAAACTTGACTTAACGAAACTAAATTAAGACCTCTTCGAAGTTTATAAGGCTTCTGAGCCAACTTGATAAAAGCCTTCTAGATAGAGAATATAAACCTCTATCTAGTGCGGCAGACTGTTTTTGGGCATCCATAGAAACAGCTGAGGGATGTTGGGTCTAGATATTAAGCTCAATATTATGTAACTAGTTTTATATAATAATAGACCTTTTCAAAGTGAATTTACTAGTAGATTGGTAGGTGCGAATTTTCGTATTGTAATTGTATTATATTAATTTATGCATGTATACTAACTTAGAAGTAAAGTAAAAAATATGTTATGCAACAGAATTAATTTAAAATAAAGCAAAAATAGATTTATATAACAAGATTAATTTGGAATAAACAAAAAAATAATGAGGCTGATGTGGCTAATAAAATAAATTTTTGATAAATTTGTTGGTAATTAACAGAAAGTAACATAACTGGGGTGGTCAGCAATGTTCAGTATACACAATATGCAAACAGAGTCAAAATTTTATAATGATAGCATTTGCAACAATTGCTGCAGGTGTTGCTGTCCATATAACCCATAGAATTGGCTGCCTTGATCGTATACAAGAAAAGTAATTAACCTTTTACAACTAAAAAAAAAAGTTGAAAGTGACTTGGTCATAGTGTTTCAAATTTGCAATCGATCAGTTGGTTATAAATTTTTAAATTTGATTAAAAAAAATTAAATATACTTAACTAATCGAATAAATAATTAGTCGATTAATTGGTTCTCTGATTGATTAGCTAGTCAATTAATTGATTAATCAGTCAATTAATTAATAGTATATTTGTTAAAGGCAATCAATAATTTTTTTTTTTTTTATAGTCAAGGTTAGTCTCTTTGGCTTATCACTTTTATTAGATATTTAGAATCATGTGGTGCCCTTATCAAAGGGGCTCCAGACAAGTACATGTCAATCCTATCTAATCTCACCCAGAACATACAATATATAAGTCAGTCCAAGTTCCGAGATTGTCGCGTCCACCTATAGGACTACCAGCATGGTTAACCGATTCATCCTCGAGTGCATCACCTGCTAGAGCAGTCCGGTACCCACTATTCCCATACTATCTAGTCTCCTTCGGTAACTTACGCCTAGGCTGAGACCAAGTACTTGCGAGCCAAAGCTGCTACCATTACCTACTACTAGCCTTATAGAGTTCACCCAAACCCCGGTACACCTACAGACTTTTCTCAGTCATCTTATCAATTCCAAACTACCAATCCAGATGGCCCGGAAGGGCTGTGACCTGCCCCTGGTCTCTACAATTGGGTCCTTTTCCTCTGGCTACTCCTCTGCCGGCCTGGTTGGTGGAGTGCCTTGCCTAACACTTCGGTCCCATTCAGTTTATCCGGTTCCCCAGGTAGTAATCTGCATGTAGTACTGTCAAAAATCTGTGCTACCTCTCTATTCGGGACTTTCCAAGCGAGCGCCTCACCGCCGTATTGGCTCTGTGGCTTTCTGCTCTCTTTAATATTATAGGATTCTTTAGGAATAGAAACCTAAAAATAGCCTATCTTATTTATTTTTAATAAACATATATTTTATCTATAAACTATTGTCTGCCCAAACTGCCATAGACAGAAGGGTATAGTTTCTCCAAGAAGCAGAAATTATACTTACCTGTTGGACACCGCTATAAACCTGTGAAGGATCCCTGTAGCCGTGTCATTATTATAGTACTGCTGTTAAGAAGGCCACGGTACTGTAACAGTGTGTACAGTACGTATATACGTACATTTCTCCCGTTTGAGCATAGATACAAAATACGTATAAAAAAATAATGCGATATGAATAACTATAAAAATTGAATTTGCAGAATAAGTTTGCATACTCCAGAAAAACGAAAAATTTACCTCAGCTACCAATTCTTAAAAAAATCTTTGTTCTTATACTAATTTCTTTAAGAAAAAAACATCCTTTAAATTAACGTAAGATTTAATTAATGATGTCTTCACAAAACCACAATGATAATGCTTCACATCAACGAGTAGGGTATAGGATTGCTGATCTGACACATGCTGTCATCCAAGCTACTTTCCAGAGTACTGTTGATGCATTATCCTTACCATTCTCACCATTTCCTGTTGTGGTTGCGATACATAATCAAATGTATCAACCTATGAAAATGCAAAATGTAATAAAAAAATATGCCTGTCTTTACTAGATCGTGTTGAAATTGCACAAGCTGCTGTTAAATCAGTGCAACGTAAATATCAGGAAAATGATGAAAATTTTAGAAATCAAAAACATTATCATACTTGGGTTAAATTTATTAATGTTTTGGAAAATATTAGGAAATTTGCTGAAGAAGTTACACAATTGACAAATTTTCAATCATTTTTGAACACTAATGCTGTTAAAAAAGCTTATAAAAAAAATCTTAAAGAATTCGAAGAAGCTTGTAGTGGTTTAAATTTTAATATTGTTATATATAGTGCTAAACAAAGAAACATAGAAGTAAAAAATGTGGCAAAAGATCTTGAAAGTATAAAAGAGATTTTTTTACAAAAAAATATAGAAATCGAACAGTTTCATAAAGATCAACAACAAAGTGAGAATAGTAGAAATTTTGAGAGATCAACTGAAGTAGCTAATCTGGAACTCTTCGGTCCCCTATTTAACAAGGCTATGAATATACCTACTCAATTGTCATCTATCTATCAAAATGCAAAGTATAATAAAAAAATGTTTGCTGCTTTATTGGATCGTGTTAAATTTACACAATTTGCTATTAGAACGTCAAAACGTATATTAACAGAAAAATGAAGAACATTTTAAAGTTCAAAACTATTATAACGCTTTTGTTAGATTTGTTAATGTTTTGGAAGAGATTACGAAATTTGCTAAAAAAGTTACACAATTTACAGTTTGTCGATATTTTTTGAGCGTTAATGCTGTTAAAGAAGCTTATGAAAAACATATTAAAGAATTTGCAAAAGTTTGTGACGATTTAAATTTTACTATGGTAATGTATGATGCTGAACAAAGTGAAATAGAAGCAAAAAATGTGACAAGAGATCTTAAAATTTTAAAAAAGAGCTTTTTATGAAGGAATACAGAAATTGATCAGTTTCATAAAGAAATTAAAGTTTGAGACAAAAAGATAGAAAAACTTCAAGAAGATCATTCTATATTTGAAGGACAAGAAATAAAAATCAATCATTTAGAATGGAGAGTTTAAAAGCTTACAAATTTAATCAAAAACCAAAAACAAAAAATATTTAATGACTTCTTAAATATTCTTCCTGAAAAAGAACTAGTACGGCAATTAATTGTTACTTACTTGGAATATAAAAAAGGTGAAAAAAATCGTGCACCATCGCTAAAACTAAAAAAAGAATGCTGTAAAATTGAAGGAGAACTAGAAGGCAAATTAGGAGAAGAATTTGTTGAAAATTTGCAATTAATTCTCAATGATTGTGAAGAGTTAGTTAGATGGGAAACAGAATTGGATGAGATACCTGAAGGTAAAGCTTTTTTAATTAAAGAGCAAAAAAACATTTTACAGACTACAGATGATAGTAAAAATAGAAGATTTGTAGAACAACATAAAGCAATTCATAAAGACCAAATTAGAAGAAGAGACACAATTAGTGAAATGAAAATATTAGAACTTAGTACTGAATTAAAAGTCAGAAGAGAAGAAATGGAAGAAACCAGAAAAATGATCAATGCCGCAATAAATAACCGATTTGAAATCTCTGGATGTAGCTTTTTCAATGTCAGTGGTAATTTAACTGGCAATATTAATCAAATCACTTATCAAATCCAATACAGTGATAAACAATTAAAAAAGAGCTCATTGAACTTAAACGAAAATATCAAGCATTAGATTCAACTAACAAACTCCAATCAGACCAGCAAAAACTAAAAAAAACTATACTGGTCTTAGCTGCTAAGCGAATATTTGCTACTGCTCGAAAAGATACTATCGATAGTTTAATTACTATTTATAATAAACTTGATGACTTTGTCAAAAAATTTGGTAAATTAGCTACATTAACTAGATATATTGGTGATTTAGAAGAAATTATCAGTATTCTTCCAGGTGGAACAATCTTTGTCAAATTATTAGAGAAAGATACTCTAGCGATTATTAATATTTTTAAGAAACATTCTGCTATTGAACATGCTCAGAAGTTTGAAGATTACTTAGTTGAAGATAAGAAAGCTCTTACTTTGTTGCAAGAAACTTATCAATCTTTAGCTAGTTCAATTCAAGAAAATCAGACAAGAATACGTCCTGTTATTAGTCAAATACTTAAATTAAATCAAAATCATTTTAGCCAATGTAGTGTCTTTGAAATATGTAACATTTAAGAAAATTCTACTCTAAATTCTGAAGATATGCATAAAGCTATTTCGCATTTAATAATCATTTTAATGAATTTTGTTGTGAATTACAGAGAGAAACAGTTCAATGCATTGAAAAGATGGAAACTTTTTTACTGGAGAAGATGGAGAACTTTTGCAAAAAGAGGTTGCTGAACTGTTAAACAACTTAGTTAATCAAAGTAATAAAAATGATTAAATAGGGTTAACATCTAAACATAAATTTGATAAAATCCAAAATTTAAATTAGGACGTTAATATTTATTAGATAATTTTTAAAAAGTAACTATTAAAACGAAGTTAACTTAAGTTGAACAAATATTAGCTTTATTTATATTACTGGAAGCATTTTCTATAATATATAAAATATTAAGAGCGTTAGTTTATGGTGACGGGTTGCCATATAAATAGCCAATCAAAATTGAGCATATGACTATATAATATATTGCTTATTATAGCCCAACAAAAATTTTTTACAAATTCTATAACTTTTATAATAAGAAAATACAAAAGAAAAGTTTTGAACCCTAAATATGATTGGCTGCTATATGTAGGGTTGCCATGGAGACGGGTCTCTATTGTCTTTTTGTCAAATATTAAATATAACATTATTTATTATATATTATTGAGATAATGCATATGCCCCATAATGTAAATCAAAACAACCAAAATAAACCGAATTATTTCATATAGTTAGGATTAGGGTTAGGTTAGGTTAGGGTACGGTGAAGAGGAGGCTTTATAGTAAAATTTTGCAAGGAATTTTTTTTGTTAGAGCACAAAGATGGTTCATATGTGAAGTTTTGAGTTATAGGCGATTTTTGTCAAAATGAACATTTGTTTTGAATTTTTCTGATCGTGTGACCTTACACCTGATCTTGTGGTCGATCATGTGAGGGCGATACATCGCAGGGGCGATAAATAAATTTAAAAAAATTAAAACTAGCAAGATATTTAGCTTAAATAGTTTTAATATTTTATAAGAAGATTGTTTATTTATTTTTGTTTAATAAGCATTAGCATTTTGAAGTTACGTAGTCAATTTTATTTATCGAGATTAGATTGTCTGCACTGTGCAGTTTGTAATAAATAAGCCCAAAGAATAGTCCAGATGTAACCTTAATGCAAATTGTAAATAAAGACTAGGAAATCAGAATCTGATGTAGGTCCGAAGCGAAAAAAAAATCATGCAAATTTTGTAAAAATTTA